AAAAAGAGTTTTATTTAATAAACAGACGATGTCCTTGTTGGATTAATATTTGTTTTTCCTAAACGTTTTTTTTCTTGATAAGTTATTTTTCCTGATGCAACCATATCAATTGCTTTTGGATATAATTGTTGTTCAAGTATACGTAAACGATTTTCTAATTGAATTTCATTCTCAATTGGTGTTATATGAATACTTTCTTGTGCAATAATTGGTCCATCATTATCTGTATCTGATTCAACAATAAATTGAACAGTAACACCTGTAATACGAACACCAGCTTGTAATGCATCACGAATTGGTGATGGACTATGACGAAATGCTGGTAATAAAGATGGATATATATTTAATAATCGTCCTCGCCATGCTTGAATAAATGATGGTGATAAACGACATGCATAACGATCAAGAATAACTAATTCACAACCATGTAATTGTAATTCATCATCAAGTTTTTGATCCTTACAAAGACATAAAAGAAAATTTATAATTTTTATAATTGAAAAATATTTACTAAATCATAATTTCTTGCAGCATATTTTTTTGGTTGAATAACTTTTGTTACAACAGATGGATATAATTCATTAACACGAGCCATATCTGATAGACCAGCTAATGTTGAAAGAACAAGAACAATTTCAAATGCACAATCTATTGTTGAACTTGAATAAGTAAGAAGAGAAAGTAATGAAGTATCTAAAAAAAACGGATACAAAAAAATAAATAAAATAATTTATTGATTTTGTATTTTTTTACCATTTGTTGAAATAAGTACAGCACCACGTGTTTTATCATTTGCAATCGGTTGTTTCATTCGATCTTTAACGATTAATGGTGTATTATTTGATGTAAGATAAGGTTTAGGATATTTAAACGAAATATTTTGTAGTTGAACAGTACGTGTTTGAGATTGTTGAGGTACACGAATTGTTTTATTACGTATTGAAGTAGAATCTAAAAGAAATTCATTTTTTTTTCTTCATTATTTCAAAATCATTTTCAATATTTACTTGTTGAAGTAAATGTTCCAAGAAGAAAACATGTTGTTTGTGTTTCAGTTAATTGTTGAAGAATAGTTTCAATAGATGATTTTGTATGATCAATTATAATTAAATAATCAATACCACAATTAAAATATTCAAACATTTCATCTTGACTATAACCACTCTGAAAATACAAAAATATTATTACTCTGATTCTCAGTCATAAACTATATTTACATGTTGATAAATCCATGTAAAAATTGGTGGTATAACTGGCCATTGTTGTCCATTTAATTCTGCAGTTAATGTTCCTGTTAATGAACCAAGTAATGATTCAATCATACGAGCAAGTCCAATATCTAAGTAATAAATGTATCATAAAAATCAAATGTATAACTATATATATACCTTTTAAATATCTTATAACTTTAATAGTTCGATTTAAAATAAGCTCATTAATGACTGTAGTTAATGCCGATGTTAATGTAGATGATTTTTGTAATAATAATGAAAAAAATGATTCTTCTTGTCCATCATTATTTCGAAATGGTAAAAGATCATTTAAATGAATATTTTTCTTTTGAAATAAATCTTTTAATTGAGCATAACCTTGAGTATTTATTGTACCTGAACTACATCGAAGACCCACTAATAAATCACCTTCATTTATTATTGAATTATTATTATTATTATCATTAAGTACTAATAATTCTCGATTGCATACACCTGTACATAATGCATTGAATGATGATGATGATGAAATTGATGTTGTTTTAAGAAATGTACAATCTAATTGTTGACATGCTTGTTCAATTCCTTGATAAAAACGTTGAACTGAACGTTCATAAAATGATATTGGTAATGAACAACATTGAATATATAATGCTTGAGCACAAATAAGATCATTAGCAGAACGTACTGCTAATTCATGACCTAGATATTCAAATACATTTTGACTATCATTCATATCTCCATCATTTAAATTAAATAACTAAAGAGAAGAAAAAGAATAATTTAATATATAATGATTTATTAAGATAAATAAATTACTGAAGCTAATAAATTTAAATTGATAGTTGATGAGAGAAGTACTGGTTGTGTATAAGTTTTAAGATCAATTTTATTGGAGAGATCAAAATATGAATCACCTTCGACAATATTCAATCCATTGATCGAATTCTTATTATGATAAATATCTTTATGTTCTAGTTTTAAAGTATCAGATGTAGAACCAAATGCTCGTTCAAAATCCATTGGTTCACTTTCATCATCAACCTCTTCATCTTCGTCTTCAGTATGTTCAGAATTTTTTGTATTTGGACGATATGTTCGAGTACCATGATGATTTTTATTCGATATTGCGGAGACAGATCTTTTGTTATTTGGTTTTTTCTTTTTACCATTTGTTAAACCACCTAATTTAGAATTATGAATATTCCCATGAGTCTTGTACCTAAATGAAAAATATTCATATAAAGTCCGATTATCAATAACCTATAGATCTTACCATTCGATAGCATCAGAACCAATATTAGTTTTAAATACTAAATCATCAATATTTGTATGTTGTTTAATATATTCACAGGCAAGTACAGATTGAACTTGTGCCTCTTGTAATGTTGCACCATAGCCAAGTACATTAAAAATTCTTTCTCCATTTGTTGTTATATTACCTATTTCTCCTCCTCCTCTAGTATCAGCATTTGTTTGATTATGAAAAATTTTAACTTTATTATTTTTTGTTGCATTTATTAAAATTTTATTTGATATTGTTAATGAATTTTTCTTTGATATTACTGTTGTATTTACACAGTGCATACGTCGTTTTTTACTTGTTAATGATAGAATTGGTACAGATGGTAAATCCAATGCATATTGAAGAACTATTTCTGGTTCACATAAAGATAAAAGTACTTCACCTTCTGGTTCTTCAAATACTGATTTATAATCAAGTAAATTAATTTCATTATAATTTGTTCCTTTAATAAGTAATCGAAAGCCAAAAAAATGACGAATCGATGGTGAACATCGTAATGTTCGTTCAACAATACGTCGACGAATAAAAGACATTTGTTTTGATGTTAAATATGGAAATGGGCCATAGGCACCAAAATTTAATAAATCTGATTCTATTATTGGTAATTGAGTATAATCACCATCGCCATCACTTACAATATAAAGTGTACATACATGATTATCATCTAATGAATAACCATGTTCAACAATAACTGATTGATTTGTTGTACCAAATAAATGATCCTATATCAAAATAATATATTTAATTTTCAATCTTCAAACACGAATGAAAGATCTTTACCTGGAAAATTTCTTTAAGGGTTTGTAAAGTTTCATCTCGTGTTTTACAATGAACCATTTTATTTCCATTTGTAGCACGAATAATCCATTGTTGTTGATTTGGATATCTATAGCAAAAAAGAAGATGAAATTTCATTTAATATAGGGTCATATATTTACTTGTTTAAATAATTTTCTCCTTCATCAAATGTCAAACACTGTATCCAATCTGATGTTGGTATATTATGTTTAATCATAAATTGTTTTGCATATAATTGATCATCACTTAAAGTTAATGTATCAGATGAACAACCTAAATAATGTACACCACGTTCATGTAATCGAGCTTCAAGTTCATCAAAATAAAATGATTTATTTAATGATATAACAAGATCAATTTGTTTTGCTTCAACAAAATCTAAAACATTTTTATCCGTTTGAAAAATATCTGTTATTATAACCGATGATTGATCAATTGATATTCCACTATTAGCTGGTGAACAATAAATTTTTAAATATCGACGTTGTGATAATTTCCAAACCAACGCATGTTCACATGAAGTAAAACCAAGTATAAGTATTGTTGCTGGTGTTGGTTGTGCTAATGATGTACATGTTGAATATGCATCATTATCTTCTGAACGTGCAAGTACACGTTCAAATACATGTAAATCTGATACACCTGTATTAACATCATCATTTAAAGATTTAGTAAATAAAACTCGATCAATTAATTTTTGTAAAGTTTTGGAATAAATTTTTGTTGATGATGATACAAATAAATTTCCACCAAGTTCTTTTAAATGTAATAAACGTTTTGTTGGAACTTCAATTATTGGTTGTGTTATAATATCAGCAACACTATCGATTTGTTCTTTAATTAAATCGGATGATAATTCTGTTTCATTATCAACTGATAAACCTAAAGAATTATATTGAAATTGAGCGACATTTGTCGACGACGATGACGACTGGTTCTCATGTTGATGAAAGGCGCCCGTTGATGATATTCGCAACCGCTTGTTCACGCCACCATGGTTGTTCACCTGCGACATCTAATACAACTTGTTAGTATAGAAATTCTTCAGTATAAGTCTAAATATAAAACTATTTATTCAATTTAAGTTTTTATTAAACATATTTCATTTATAAACATATTTTTCTCTTATAAATTTATTTTATTAAAATGATCAAAGAATTAAAATATTTAATTTCTACTAAATTTAAAAGACATCATATTCGGTTGATGTTTTTATTTATTTTCTTTTTTTTCTATTGCCTGACATAGTAATGACCAATAGGGAATAAAGAAAAGTCTCTAAATTTAATAGATGTCGTACATTTATTTCATCAATTAATTTCAAACAATGTCATTAATTTGACCTGTGTTACGATTAGTTTATATTTAACCAATAAAGATTAAATCATATATTATATATTTAAATCTAATCTATATTATCTAAAAAGATAGAATTTCTTCAAAAACATGACATGAAATTTATAAACTGTGATTCAGAAGACAGTCTCTTGTTGTTTACATATCTATCAATCAAATAATGCCTTGAAAGATTCTCAAAATATGAATTGATAAACTATCAGTAAATCCATTGAATTATAACTTCTTCTGTTAGTCAATTTGTCTTTGAAAACTATTTCCAAGAATACTCTTTTATACAATCAAAATACGTATACATCTGTAGATATTAGTTTTAATTCAATAAACAAAACAAATACCACTGAGATTAAAATTATTTAGAATGACACAATTTGAAATAAGATTGTGCAAACTGTTGGATTTAGATTTATTGAATCACCATGTTATTGCATCACATGCAACTCGTTTCACTTTAAATATCTGTTCCATTTGACTATTGTCGGGATCGGCCAATGTCGAGTCAGCTACTTCAATATTATGAAAAATAAAATTATGAGAAATTTAAAAAAAATTAAAAAAATTAGTATCTTTGTGAATCTTTTCATAGAATGCAAAATCCAAAAAAATAATAAAATCTCAAAAATCTAAAAAAAAAAAAAAGCTACTTACAATATACTTCGAAATATTTGTGGGCACTTTTAGTGTCTACAATCGCGTCTATACCATCAGACAATCAAGTTAAACTGCTTGCGCAACCCGATCCTTTTTTAATACAATATTTCAAAGTACTGATAGGTTTTTATTTTGATTCTTGATCTGTTTAAACTAGTTCACAAAACGAAAAAATCATAAGTCACTTGAAAGCAAATAACATGTAAAATCAAATACTAACTAACTTTTCTATGGCAACAACACATACAATGATGAACTGAGAGAGAAAAAAAAATCAATACTAATCTGTGTTAACAATATCATGAAATAGTTTTAGTGAATAAAGCAAAACAATAAAAAAAAGGAAAAGAATAAATGCAAGATCTGTTAAATCTATAAATAGAAAAGTTTGTTTGAAAGATCATGATGAAAATCTTGATGAAGAGATTGACCAACAAGATAAGCAAGTTTATGAGCATATTGACAAACCATCGGTACTCGAATTGTTCCCTAAAAATAAAAATTTATTATATTCTTTGTCGAATTAATATTTAAAATTCCTTACAGGCCAATTGTAATAAAGATGACATCTAAAATAAAATCATAAGAATTATTTCATATTAAAATATATATCTTATTACGTACAATTTAAATGTAAGTCGTTGAATATGATCAACTTTAAATGTTGTTCGATCTATAAAATATTTAAGTTTATATTATTATACATATATTCTATATATATTTACCCCAAATAACATTAAAATGTGTTGGTGCTGCTGTACCTTGTCTTGCACATTGAGAAATAAGATAAAAATCAAACCAATTTTGATGTGTAATTGTATGATCAATGATTGTTCCTGGTGGTGGATTATATAATTGATTTGTATTTTTAGAAAAGAATCTTGAACAACCACGTTTTTTAACAATAATCATTGCCCATTTAGGTCTAAATATTATAAAATAAGATATAAGTTCAACCTCTAAATTATTTTACTTACGCATAACCTTCTTGTACTTTACTAAATGTTTCTTCAATTTGTGGTAATTCATGTTCATAAACAGCTTGAAGTTGTCCATCACCAACACCATCACGATAGATAACAATTCGTTCGGGCATTGAATTATTTTGCAAAAAGAATGCTTTTAATGCATCTAAATATGAAAATAATATATTTGATTCGGAAGTGTAAGAAATAAATTATATTTATGTAGAATTTAGTTTACCTCGAATACAGACACTTATACCATCAACTAATTCTTGTGTTGTTGTTTGCATAATAATACGAGAGTAATAGGATGTACATTGAGGATTTGTTGTTGCAACAAATGCAGCTATTGATACTTGTTTACGTTTTTTATCATGATATGAATCAATACCAATAATCATTAAACTTTTTGACTTGAATGAAAATAAAGAAAAATATATATTAGAAAAAAAAGAGAAGATTCTTCTTTTTTAAACTATTTACTGGAATAGGAACTGACCAAATTTCTCCACCAAGTTTAGCTGAAATTTGAATACCAATTTTCGTTGCTACGGACATTAACTGACCTCGTTTATTAAGTGTTTTTAAAAGTACCATCTAAATAAATAAATTACTTACGGAACATTCTTTATTTTTATTAGAATATTTTTTACCTGAGATGGAATACCAGTATCTTTACATAAGAATTTTTTCAAAGCATCATAACGATCTTTTCGATTATTACTTAATACACAAAGAACAAGATTATATTGTTGATTAAGACAATATTGTTCTAATGCTTTTAAATATGTTTCTGGTCGATCATTTTGTAATTCAGCTCTATTAGAATATAAATCAAAGATTCTTCTTTTCGATTCAAATATATAAAACTTACACTTCAGGATATTCTACTCGCATACCCTAAAAGTACATGAATTAATTGCAAGTTTTTGTTTAGAAAATTTTTTCTTACCATTGGTGTGCACACATTATAAAGTGTATTAATAAGTTCACTAGCAATAGGCTTTTGTTTTCCTTCATAGACAACAAGCCATTTATCCAAATTACCAGGTTTTATATGACGACAACTACGACCTAGATGAAACCAAAAAAAAAAGAACTATAAATTCTCAATCAAAATTTAATTTTAAAGTTCTTACCATCACGACTCCAATCAGCTTCTTGTTGTTTATATCTGACTGAACGATCACTATAATTAATTGTTTCTGGTTCAAGTGTACGACCTTCAAGATCAACTAAGTTATCATCCAATCGTAAATTCCATTTCGACATATATTGTCGACAACGTGGTGATCTAATACGATAATAAAATTCAGTTAATCTTCATCTTTAATCTCTTTTTCTTTCATACGTATTAATTGTATTAACCATATCGATCAATGATTGATAACGTGGAGTTGGCTCAATATGTGTATATGAAGCCAATTCTTTCATAAGATTAAAATCATTTCGCATCGAATCAGATATACCTAAAATGAAACAATCATAATTCTTTATTTTAATAAAATTTTCTTTAACCTGTTTCACGACAAAATTCAGGAATTAATAAAATTGGTCCTGTAATTCCAGCACGTCGATTTTGTCGTGATGGTTTAGATACAAGTAATGGTTGTGTATTATCACCTATTTTTAATTGATAACGCTAAAATTCTTTATTACAAGTATTTCAAATATATTTTTCTGAATTTATACTTCTTGATAATAATCAATTAATGAAACATCTTTTCCATCTCGTTTTGAAAATGTCATTTCAGGTGTTTTATCCCATGCAATATCATCAATTTTATATGTTTTATGATTATATCTATGTTTAGAAGAAAAAAAGAAAATTTTCAATTTTAATAAAATAATTGCTATGTGTTTTTTACGTTGTGATAATAATTTGTCCAACTAATTCTCGCATAGCTGTATCTTGTGCAAGTTTATATTCTTGAAATTGTGCAAAAATATTTTGTAAACGTTGATAAATACTAACATTGTTAATCACTTTATGTGATAAATCAACATTCATCATTAAAACACCTTCATATACATTAATAGCTGTTTCAAAACCAGGAAATAATGTTAAACTAAATCGATCAATATCAATTTTTTTATCAAATTGATAATAGGATCGACCAATCATTCTCATACCGGCTAATTCCAATAATCTTTTTAAAATAGAAAAAAAAACAATGAAATTCTTTTAACAAAATTTCTATTTACTTTCTCATAATTAAATTTGATAAATGAAAAAAATTTGGTGATTCAGGACCTTGTACTGCTACTTTATGTAATTGAATAGTTATATCCTCACCAGTAACCTCATGGTGTGACTTTGTCTCATAATCCTAAAAAATAAGAATAAAAATTTATTTATTTCTATTTTTTGATTAGATTAAAATTAATATTTACATCACCAAGATCATTGAATGAATATAAAGTTTGTCCATCAAATGCAACATCTTGTAATACACCTTTATGTTGTGCTAAAAAGAAAAAATTACATCGTATAAATAAATACTTAAAGAAATTAATTTTACCAAGTAATTCTCGACGTGTTTTTCTTGAATCAATACTATCTGGTGCAAATGTTACATGATATTGATAAAGTAACCATTGTGGTGCAGATAAAATGCGAACATAATTTGCAATTAATGGAATAACTTCTCCTGATGTACCTTGTTTTTCTGTTCCAGGTTCACGAAAACTAACACGAGTTGGATCAACAGTACGTCTTTGTGATTCATCATGTATAGGTGGCCCACGAGAACGACCTTCACGATGTTCACCAATTGACATACCAGCCATATGTGGAGCTAATTTATCAAGTCCACGACCACGTGGAATACTCATTCCACCACCACCGCCAATTCGGCGTATAGCAGTTTGTTGAACTGATGGTGCAACTTCTGTTGTTGACCATTCTGATGTTGGTGTTTCACTACTTGTAGGAATAATAGGTGTTGGTACTAATGAAGCTAAAGTTGATGTAGTTAGTACCTAATTAAATTATCAATAGATAAATGAGAAGATTGGATATATATAAAGAAAATTACTTCGTCAGTAGGTGCAGTAATACCAGCAGCACCACTTGGTTCACTGCTAGTTTCACCTGGTACAACGGGACGACTTCGACCACGACCACGAGCACGACCACGCTCACTCATATTGTCTAGATAGTTAAATAATGGATAGAAATAAATATTTACGTAGTTCTATATATCGAAGGTCAAAAAGACTATACAGCCTCTATGATTTTAATATATAATAGACGTATTCTATATTTTCTCTATTATATTTTCTATGCGTACATGTTATATATCCCTCGATCGAAAGAAGAAATATCATGTAGTCACAAACTTGTTGTTTACTTCTTATTCTTTTCTTTATTATATATAGAAGAAGAAGAAGAAGATTTCGAATAGAAAAGCAAGAAAAATACAATGGAAAAATATATTTATATACGTAGTATTTGTTCTGAATAGAATGTTATCTTTTGATAAATAGTTATAGGAAAATTTTTTATCAGTATAAATTAAGTAAAAAATTGATTTTATTTGATTCAATTCGTTATCGTTCTACTTTGAATTTACTAATTGTTCGATTGTTTTTTGAAGAAACGAGATCTATTGTTGACAGAATTAGAATAAAATAAAAGAAGAAAATAATATATGTTTATGGTTATTAAGATCATTGATTGAATAATTGTTGTTGTTAGTAGGTATAACTTGTTGATGTTGAAGTTCGACTTGTAGATGAATTCAAATCAATTCGAATAAGATCATCATTATCATTTTGGTTGCGATTATAATGTCTATTTTTTGTTTTACTTATTTGTTGTTCAGTTTGAGAACTGGATACGGTACTATTTGAACTAGATGTTATTGAATCTGTTGATGAACTTGAAGACGCTTTATTTGATATTCGTTTTGTGCTAGTATTCGATGATGATGATGAATTAGATGAAGTGGACGTATCTCGACTATCGGAAGATGAATCAATTCGTTGATTTTCTTTTAAAATACTATCACGTTTAGAAAATAACGTTGTTTTATTCATCTAAAAATTATATTCATATTCATTCTTTTAGTTTAATAATATAACAATAAACATACTGTTTGATGATTAGCACTATACCAGGAGAGTCCAGTACTATTTCGTGGAGTTATTGATGATGCATATTTCTTTGCAAGTACTTCAATTGCTGAAAGATGTTTCGAATAATGATACGAAGGTGTCTGTACATTATATTTATGTTGATGAGGATTAAATAATGTTTTATCTAATGTATTAATAGTAGGTTTCATTTTTGGTATATCAATAATAGTATGTGCACTTTGAATATTTTGTTTTTCTTGATTAGTATGTAGTCGCATTGATGCTGCATCGGATAATGATGCTAAAGATTTATCTTGTATTACAGGTGGATCATTAGTAGATGCTTTGAATGATTGTTTGATTTCGGATGAATTAATACTTGATGTACTTGTCAGTTGTTTAAAATCATAGCGTAAACCTTGAAATGAATATTTAATTTCATTATTTGTATTTTTCTGATTGATATTATTATACTGATGTTTTGATGGATATGGTTGTTCTATCTGAATTATTTTCGTGGATGAAAGTTTAACTTGATCCCCACCACTAATAATTCTTTTCTTATTTTCTTGTTGCGAAGTTTTCAATGATTGCTTAACAATTGGTACTCTTTTTTTTGATGAATGTCGCCCAAATAAACCATATAATAGTGATGATCGCTTGTTCGTATTTGATATTGTTCTAGTTGATTGTGCAGCATTATTAAATGAAGTAAGTAAATGTGGAGATTGTTGTTGTTGTGGAATCAATAAACTCAAGTATGAAAGATTATCCTATCAATAGATTTATTGACATTAGAAAAAAACAAGTGAAAATGAATTAATACACACAAAAGATAATGAATTTGTTGATGGAATAAATTCACATATTTCTTTAGTACTAAAAATAGCAAGTAAGAAAAATTTATCGATATTCACACTTACTCTTTCATTGCTTCAAGTAACGATAGCTTCGATTCGATCAGAAATTGTCTGTCCAATAAATGCGTACTCGACATTTAATGAATGAGAGTAAAAAGAAATAATATATTACTACGTATATAGATCGAAAAAAAACATCTCGCAATTTGTGAAAATAGATAGATAAATGCGATTCACGAAAGTAAAACATGAAAGTGCGCGTGTTTGTTATAATTTAAAATTTGTCAAATGAGGCAAGTGAGCGATGCAAGTGTATTTAAAAGACTTTTCATATTGAAGATATCGGTATAGAATTGACTATTTTATTTATTTGTAAATACTAATTATGAATATCTATTTTTATTGTATTAGGAGAATATTCTTTAGCATTATTTGGTTAAGAGTTTATGAGTAACATGCGTTGCAAAAGAAATGGAAATAAATGTCGAGCTTCACCGTTCAGCCATTTTACGAGCTACAAAGCTATTTCTTTTTTTATTAGAAAGAGCATGAAAAACACTACAAAAAACTACATTTAACAAACTGAATATAATCCGTCCCGCCACATAGCCCGAAGCATTCTTCGAACACCTTCAACCATAGCTTGCAACATTTTTTTATCAAGTTCTTTTGCCTTTAGTTTGATCCTTCGAGCCAATGTATCCAAATCTTTTGCTTCCCAATTATTTGCATACACCTTTCGTTCGAGCAGAGCCCAAACAGTTTCAATTGGACGAGCTTGTGGGACGTTTGGAGGATTATTCGGACGAGGAACGAATGGTACGTTTTTCTCGTTCAAACGTTCCTTCACAACATTTGAGTAATGAGCACTCGCTAAATCGGGCCAGAACATATAATTTCCATCCTGATGATAGTTTTCGATAAAAGGAATTAGTCTTTTGTTAATACACTCTTCTAAATATGTGGTTTGACGAACAGCTTGCTTACTCTTGTGGATGTACACACCAGAAACCCCTTTCGAGGACATAGCCATCCAGATCATCAATTTTGGTTCAAATGTTTTTTTCTTTTGAAATTTAATGTTTGAAGGAGTTGTGGCAGGATCCGTCGAATAAAAATAACCATTGCCACCAACATCATTACCACTTAATTTAAAGTATTTTTCATCATCTAAAATAACATCACAACCACTTAACAATTTGCGATACATTTTTCCACAATTTTTTCTTGCTCTGTTTTCTTGGTCTTCGTTGTCCATTTTTGGAGCTTTTCGACGTTTTCTGAAAACGATTGATGTTCTTTTTTTTAAGGTACGTGAAATAGTTGAATAATGTACCTTAAACCGTCGTCCTAATTTTCGTTGACTAACACCACATCGATTATTTACAGATTTAACGAGCCTATGCAATTGCTTGTCTGAAATCTTGCACGGTCGACCACTTTTTGGTAGATATTTCGTGGTTCCATGTTGACGATACTTCCGTAATATATTATAAATCGTTGTTTGCGGAATATTTTGTTTTTTGAAATAGTTTACCGTAGTTTTTACGGAATTATTTGAAGAGTCAGTATAGAAGTTGCAAACACGTTGTGATAGAGCTTCTCTTTCGTCTCGTGTCATTTTGTTAATGAACGAACAGTAACGGCGAGTTATATATCATTCGAAAGAGAAAAGAACGAGCTATCAACGGACCACCAAACTTTCGTTCTATCACATTTCCGTTCCCTCCAAATATACCTCGACATTTATTTCCATTTCTTTTGCAACGCATGTTAATGTGGATAAGCACGAGGTACAAAATAAACATCATCATTTTTTAATTCAAATGTATTTAATCGATAACTACTATTAGGTGCCAAAATAGTTAAACGTGCATAACCATCTATAACATAACCCATTTCAGCTGTTTCAGGATGCCAATGTGGCTCACGCATACTGGTTCTTGAAATACAGAGAAAAGATATTGACACTAAAAAATGCAATAGAGATCATTATCTAAATTTAGTAATTTTTAATTTACTATTTTCGAGAATTGACCAACTTGTTTTTGATGCTATTTTAACTGATCCTTCAGGAAGAATTAATGTAGGTGGTACCTTTTCCAAATCGAGCTTATATTTATTCGGGTAAAGATACATGTTATCATGACCAATACTTGTTATATTTTTCATTTGGCCAATTACTGTTTCTTCACCTTGTTTGATAACATCTTTCCATGCACCGGCAGGTAACTGAAGAGTACTGCTAAGTACAGAAAAAGACCTGCAAATAAATAAAAATTTTTATCGTAGTTAATGAATCTTAATATTTTCACAGCACTAAATGCACCTGGAAAATCAAAAGCTTCGGATAATTCATGAGAGAAACCAATAATTACTGCAGTAGTTGATACTTTCTTTAAATGTTCAATATAATGAAGATATTCAGATGGAACGAAAAACACCTGACCTTCATTAACATGAATTGCAATATTCACCTTCATTAGCAAAACTTATAATTAACGCCGAACCATCTTGGGGGTGTGGTATGAGGTATATGAGTGTGGGGTGTATAGCTGTGTATGGGCGTGGGATGTGTAGGTGTAGATCTGGGTGTGTTCTTTGTGGATCTAAAAAGAACACCTACCCATGCCCTGCCCTCACACACCAACTTAACAAGAAAAAGAAATGCACATTATATTACATAATAGTCGGGTGTGGGTATGGGTGTGGCTGTGGGTGTGGTTGAATTAAAAAGAGATACTTTCACTCGCATCCACACCCACATCCACCCTCAAGATGGCTCGATTTATCTCATTTTGGTATTATTTCTATCTTAGCAATTTGACTGAAAAATTTCGTATAATATATACGAAAAATGTGCTTGCAAGTACATTGTTAACTACACAAGTGACTTTCGAATGCTACCGTGAAAAATGTGGATAAAGAAAATCTCCATCGGGCTTCGGTCAAGTCGGGCTGTACTAGAATTAGAATAGACCGAGTGGGACATCACTTTAGTTGAGCCACATTATGCCGGATTAGATTAGAAAAAATTATATATCTGGTATTTGTGTCTGATATATTTAAACTTTGAAAGAAAATTTGCCTCATTGATTTCCAACGAAACATTAGGGGAAGAAAAAAAAGTCATGAATTTAATTTAGTGTTTTTTCTAATGTTATCATATAGATGCTGTTTTCTATTCACAAAAAGTCGATTTTTTTGCCATCGCTATTTTATTCAGATGTAGTTTTTCTTTGGCGAAGCAACATACTTTGTATTGTTATGATTCTAAGAGACGTAGATGTCTTTAGAAGTTCTGTTTCTATCGTTTCTTTTTTGAAGAAAAGTCGAAAAGATTTTCCAGCTAACTTTTTCTCCTGTTGCATACAAAATACATCATAGCAACATGCAAATGAAAGAAAAAGAAAAAAAATTAATACAAACAAGTAACGCTCGTCTAGAGATTCACTCAGCTCTTTCTCGTAGAACCAATGTGTCTTCGCTACCATTGAACTATTTATTCAAATAATTTGAAAAAAACAAATATCAGATTCGTGTTCTTCGACCCCGATTACACTTTGGTCAACCCTTATAAAAGAAAATTCATTTTATATCTTTACCTAGTTTTTGGACTAATCAGTGAAGTGCGGATACACAAGCAAGTAAGCAAACAATTTATTCTTGCAAGACTCTTCTCTACGAAAAAGAGAATGATCATTTATTTCACTATAAAATAAAACGATGATTACGATTGAAATTTTTCGAAATGCAAAAACGATATGAAAATTTAAAGTCGAGTCAGTTCCAATAAATTAAACGTAAAGTTGTTCAATTGAAAACATTTCTTTTCTTTTCAATTTTAAGATCAATCAAATATTCTATTCATGATTTCTCATATTATATTTTCTATTATATCTTTATTTATCTTATCGGAAAATATATTTGTATTTTAAAATCCATGTTTCTTTATTTCAAAATTATAAAATTGTTTCGATAATCTTTTGTTTTTTTTTTATTTCAGAGCGACTTTTAAATGTATAAATTACTGGTATCTGCTTTTTAGTTATAAACTCTTTTATTTATCTCATAAAATCTTGGAGAAAATAAAAAAATATAATGCTTTTCTCATTTCATATGTATTTGAACAATTTGATCATTAAACATTGTGTTTTCCAAATTCTAATGAATATTTACAGAGAAATTGTCATTTATAGTATCCTTATTAACTCTATTTTTAAGTGACACTTCATGATTAAGATTCGAATTTTTTATTATTCCCTCAATCATTAGTGATTTCTTTTTCTCTATGACAATAACAGCAACAGATATAATCATAATATTCTCTTGAAGTATGCAGACAAACAATCAATTGTAAATGTCAATTGATATAAAATTTATGGATAAATATTGCAATGTCAATATATTCTTTACTAGATAATCCAATTTCATTACAAGAAAAAAGAAATGACTATTTATCTTGGAGTTGTGTATAATTATATTCAAATTTTCAAAGAATATTTTTCTTCAATAAAATATTAAAAGAAAGAAAACACGTCATCAACTTGGTTTTTCTAATGTAATTGTAGAAATGCTGTTTTCTACTTGCCATAATTATTTATATTTAGATGCACTTTTTTGTAAAGCAACACAGTTTGTGTTCTTGTGATTATAAACGATAGATGTGTTCATCAACTCTCTGTTTCCATCGCTCCTTTTCTGAGGAAAAATCGAAAAGATTTTCCAACTAATTTTTTTCTTCCTTCGCAGACAAAACACATCATAGCAACACATAAACAAAAGAAAAATAAAGGCAAAACATTTACTGGATGAATATTTTTCATTGAGAAAGAAGTACGTTAGAATGTGTTGTTATGATAAGCAATTATTTTAGAATACTGAAAAAACTGATTTTTTTGTTCTCAATTTACGCTATTATACACAGATATCAATCATAATTTTTACATTGATGAATAGAAACAGTACGACAGAAAAACAGATATGAGATTTTCGAAATGTTGTTATACTGTATGTTATGGACACTCGAAAAATCCAAGTGTAGTGAGTTTGAATTAAGAAGACTTTATATAGTTTGTTTTGGTTCTCTTGTCTAATCAAACAGCTCATCCAATCATTCTCCGTTTAGATACTAATGATCGACTTTATTCTTCATGTTTTTCATTTTTATTCGTTTTCCATAGAACTCAAAAAGTCTATTTATGAATATATTTGTTCTCAAATAACATTTAAACACAGGCATATCATCTTTCTGAATGGATGATATTTTTTCGAAATAAAAAATAATCAGGACTCAAATCGATGGGTGGGTGTGAGATAAAACAGCATCCATACTCATACTCAAGCATGCTCGTCAATTATCAATCCACTGCCATTAAGATCTAAAAGAAGTTAAATAAGTCTTTACACATTGAAAAAACACCCATCTATTTTGTAGTCATGTATGATACATTCAAATATTGAAAGAAAGTAAAGACGTCATCAACTTTGTTTAGCAATTTTTCTAATGTAATTATGGAGATGCCATTTTCCATCCACAAAAAGTTTACATATGTTACCATCATTGTTTTTCTCGCAGACATGTACTTTTGTAAAGCAATGTACTTTTTCTTATCGTAACTATAACAAACCTTGGTCTTTTCATAAACTCTCTGTTCCTATCGTTTCTTTTAAAAAATAATCAAAAAGATTTTCCAACTTTCTTCTTCGTCTGATACATACATAATATATCACAGCAGCATAGAAACGAAGGAAAAGAAAAGAAAAATAAGTTTTTAGTGGATAAATGTTTTTCTTCGACGAAAAAAACAGTTTACAGTTTAGAATGTGTTGTTATGAAGAACAATTATTAAACTCACTATAGAATAGTGTAAAAAACTGCTTGTTTTTCTATGTCTAATAAACAAGATGTTTTGTTTTTCATCAATACTATCATAAATAGATATGAATCCTAACTGTTAGCATCATTTTACATTGATGAAAGAAAATGTGATTATCTATTAAATCACAAAACATAATATTCTTTCATCGATCAAAAATTGAAGAATAGAAATGACACTACAAAGTAGCAAAAGAGGAGAACTGTAGAAATATTGTCATACTCTATGGTAGAGTCAATTGAAAAAGCTAAATCTAGTGCGTTTGAGTTTTAATAAATATCTAATTTATATATGGACAATGAACTAAACTTCAATTCAATGATTTTGATTTTTATAAGAAAAGTTTCATTTGCAACTAAATCTTGATTATTTTATATGCTTTTTCATCTTTATTTATTTTTTATGTAACAAAAAATGTTCTGTTTGTAAATATATTTGTCACTAAGTAACATATCAACAAAGAAAAATCGTCTTTCAAAAAGATGTATTTTTACAAAATTTAACACAAGTCATGACTGCTTTTCCATTAGATTGATGAAATGTAATAAGAAAGAGAAGCATATGCTACAATCACAAAACAGAAAAGTCGAGAAAAAGAAAAAAAAATAGTTTTTATCGCTCAACAGATTCTTTTTCTTTTATTCTCAGTTATATTCATTTCATCAACTTGCAAGTTAGTTGATGATGGCTTCGAGAAGAATTTGTTTATGGTTTGTATTTATGATTATTACACAATCAGTTGGAGAAGATATGCGATCAGTTCGAATGTCTTTAATGCGTAATTCGAAATTTCAATGTGCTAATACAACTTGTGTACCATTTATTAATTTCATTACAAGAACTATTCTTAATTGTCAAGCAGGTTGTTTAGCTGTAATTCAATGTGCAGCAGCAAGTTTTCACCGATCAACGTCTAATTGTGAATTGTTTGCTGATATGTTGAACCAAAACGGAAATATGTTATTTGATGCAGACATTATTAGTATGAATGTTATTGCTGAAACACGATCTCCACCTGGTTAGTACAAAAAATAGTAGATTTAGAAACAAACCATTTGAAAAGTATCGGTGACGATGTATTTAGCAAAGGAAGGTCCTTAGGCGTGTCCCAGACATTTTCATGATATTACATGGGTTTTTTAAGTGCAGTATATCTATCTCAAGTATGAAACAATTCTAGTCAAAAGATTTTTTAAGAAATCTAAACATATGTGTTGCTGTTTACCTTTTAAAAATTTTTCAAAATCG